GCGCCGGGGCCCTTTGGCAGCCTACCGCGGCTACCTCTAGCAGCCGGGGTGGGGGCTGATGGGTATCTTCTCCTCTCCCCCCCCTTTCTAGGGCTGAAAGGAGGAGCCCCAACCTCCGGCCCAGGAGGTTCCAATGGCCCCACCTTCACCTACACCTTCCGGGGCGACCCTCACGCCATGTTTGCCGAATTCTTCGATGGTCGCAACCCCTTCGACACCTTCTTCGTCCAACGCAATGGAGATGATGAGGACGGTGACGATGCCTTCACTGCATTCCACGTGGGAGGTTTTGGTAGCGTTGGCTTTCCTCGGGGTCGGGGGGGACCAGAAGGCGCCTGCCGTAAGCAAGACCCCCCAGTTCTCTACGACCTGAAGGTCTCCCTGGAGGAAATCTACACTGGTTGTACCAAGAAGATGAAGATCTCCCACAAGCGGCTCAACCCCGACGGGAAGACGGTGCGTAACGAGGACAAGATCCTCACCATCGAGGTGAAGCGGGGTTGGAAGGAGGGCACCAAGATCACCTTCCCCAAGGAGGGCGACCAGACCCCAAACAACATCCCTGCCGATGTCGTCTTCGTACTCAAAGATAAACCCCACGGTGTCTTCCGCCGGGAAGGCTCGGACATTGTCTACCCGGCGAAGATCAGCCTCCGCGAGGTGGGTGGGTGGTCAAAACGGGTGGATTGGTCTTGGTCTTGATGGTGGGGTTGGTCTTGCTGGTGGTGGGGCCGTCAAGGGTGGGGTGGTCTTGGTGGTGGCAGTGGGGATGCGATGAGCGGTTGATCTGGGTGGCGTCTTGGTGGCGGGGACGTGATGAGTGGTGGTTGGTCTTGGTGGCGGGGACGTGATGAGTGGTGGTTGGGCTGGGTGGCGGGGACGTGATGAGTGGTGGTTGGTCTGGGTGGCGGGGACGTGATGAGTGGTGGTCTGGGTGTTTGGCCTTGGTGGTGGGGACGTGAGAAGTGGTTGTCCAGGTGATGAGGTGCGGGGGATGATGGATCTGGGTGGTGGGGACCAAGGGTGGTTGTCTGGGCAGTTGGTTTTGGTGGTGGAGACATGACCGGTTGGTTGGATGGTTGTCGTGGTGGGGACGTGGTGGGTGGTTAGAATGCAGTGGGTGGTTGTCTGGGTGGTGAGCGGTGGTGGTGGGGATGTGGGGGCAGGTGATCTTGGTGGCGGTGGGGACGTGGCGGGTGG